GCATAAAGGCGGCAAATAAACTAGATTTTGCAAAAGTTTCGTGGGCACCATTGGGAAAAGCAGCTCTTAAACTTTTAGGATATGGCTTTTACAATGTTTTAACACCTGTAACATTAGTTATGAGCGCTTAAAAAACGATGTACCAAGTTTGGCTTTTTTAACCAAAACAGATTGAGGGGCGGCCATATTCATATTCACAAAAACAATCACACGAAGATATTTCGAATAACTAAAAAGCTGTGATTTATCGGTGATTCGAAGAATCGTTTACAATATAAAAACATTAGTATTTTAATAACAAATAGAAAAATAGGCGTTTTTATAAGAAAATCGATCGTAACTTTGTCCAGTCAACAAATACATCAATCTTGAAATTCGAACAAAAAGATTCTGAACATGTAGAACGAAATAACCAGATTTTTCATAGTACGAATGCATATTAATTTAAGACGTTGAAAGTCAAGAAAAAGAATGGTCATTCAATTCAGAAAGGCTTAAAAGGTCACAAATAAAAGAACTTTTCATAAGTAAAAAAAAGTTAAAAGCTGTTTAACTGAATTTTATAAAAAAATGTGGTTTACGAAGTAGCGTTAATAAAATGATACCAAAGTTGGGAAATTAGACATGAATTTTGCTAATAACTTTGGTAAAAATTCGTGAACTTGATTACGAGAATGGTCCGATAAGTACTTAGCCTACAAAAGAACAACGAAAATTTTGGAAAAGTGGCGTTTTATTTTTCAACATAGTCTCCTTTTAGTTCGATACACTTGGCCCAGCGATGCTCCAGCTTCTTTAACCCGTCTGAAAAATACGTTTCCTCGAGGTCTGAAAAGTAGGCTTCCGTGGCAGCGATTACCTCCTAATTCGACTCAAATTTCTGCCCGGCGAGTGACTTTTTCAAGTTTGGAAACAAAAAGAAGTCGCACGGGGCTAAATCTGAAGAATACGGTGGATAGGGCAGCAGTTCGTAGCCTAATTCGACCAATTTGGCCATGGCGACGGCGGAGGTGTGAGCCGGTGCGTTGTCATGGTGGAAGAGCACTTTTTTCTTCGCCAAATGGGGCCGATTTTTCTGCAAGTCGACGTCGAATCGGCCCAATAATTCGGCATAGTACAGCCCTGTGACCGTTTTGCCCCTCTCCAGGTAGTCGATGTAGATCACACCTTGTGAATCCCAGAAAACGGTGGCCATCACCTTTCCGGCCGATGGGGCAGTCTTCGCCTTCTTCGGAGCATTTTCGCCGGGTAAAGTCCACTGTTTCGACTGTTCCTTGGTATCTGGTGTATACCAGTGGATCCATGTTTCGTCGACTGTCACGAAACGCTTAAATAGCGTCAGACATTGCTCTGAAGTTGTCTCACGGTTGCGCTTGCACGGTTGCGGTTGTCCGGAGTAAGCAAACGCGGCACCCATCGCGCCGACAGCTTTCTCATGCCCAAAATTTCATGCAGGACATGACCCACGCGGTCTTTTGAGATGCCTACGATCGTAGCTATCTCGTGCACCTTCAATCGTCGATCTGCCAATACCAGATCGTGAATTTTTGTCACGTTATCCTCCGTGGTAGCCGTTTTCGGAGCACCTGGACGTGGCTCTTCAAAATTCGAGGTGCGACCACGTTGAAACTCGTAAACCAATTTTTGATGGTCGTCATCGAAGAAGAAGAGTCACCGTACACAGCATCCAAGCACTTTTTGATTTCGCTGCGTGATTTCCCTTCCAAAAACAAGAATCGAATCACCGACCGATACTGCTCTTTTTCCATTTTTCAAATATCAACGGACACACTTGCTTTCACACGCTCTCAAAAATAAACTACAACTCCAATCCGGCTGAAATCTTGACAGTAACCATCGAAAAGGTTGTACTAAGTGATAGAATATTTCTTTTGCGAGAGTGGCGCCATCGGGCGGTGAGGCTAAGTACTTATCGGACCACCCTCGTATTTACGAGATTATTTATAAACGAGAAGTTTGCAGTGCGAGCCGAAGGTAAGTTTCTCGCATTAGTTAGAAATAATATTTTTCCATATGAGTTCTGGAAATAAGCGTTGAAAATGCGATTTATAGATTACAATGCGGAAATTTTACATTTTGATATAAGTGCGGGAAAATGATTTTGTTCTCAGGTGAATGTTTGCACCCGAGCAAAGCAACAGTGAAATATCCACATGAGGACAAAATCACCTTCTTGCTCATATATCGAACTATATTTTTCCAGACAAAGTGTGCAAAGTTCGATTTCGCGAGCACGTTTTTGACAGAATGTGTGCAAAAACGCACTTTGCGCACGGAGTGTGGAAAAGGTAATTTTGAATTTTGTACATAATACTTTTTATTTTCAGACTCTATATCTGATTTTACATTCCACTTACTAGAAAGACTCATAATGTTTTATAAGAATGCCTAAATCGAGCATATTAGCATAGCATTTTAAAAATGAATTATGTGATTTTACATGTTTAACGAAATTTTTTATAAATGTGACGGTGTAAACGGTAAAAATTTCGTTGTAATCTATAACCGGTCATGGCCTACACCGTGTGCTTGCTTCCCTCTCCATCCTAGGCATAGTCGCACGGCTGGCATCGGACGCACGTTATTTTCCGTGTCTGATGCCTGCCTTTATTTTTTTCAGTATTGTAGCTAGAGAGAGAGAGAGAGAGAGAGAGAGAGAGAGAGAGAGAGAAGGCAGCGAGCAAGAGAAATGGGAAGGAAATATCAAGAGTAGGAGAGAGAGAGAGAGAGAAAATATATGTAGCGCGGTGAGGCTCGGCGCGCGGCACTTGTCGCGCTGAGCAGTGCCGCGTACCGTCGATTAGGAGGACAGTGGTGGGAAAGGCTTGAGAAGCCGACTCGCACGTACTACTAGATCGTTGCACGCGAAGGAGATCGGCCGCACTAGGAAGGATTCGAAGAATCCGAGAGAGAGTGTGAGAGCCGTGACAACGAAAACTGGGCCACGTCTTGCGTTAGCCACCTCACCTGCAGCCCACCTGCCAAGCAGCCATCACTTTCTGGTCAGGTTTAGTTTTCTCTCCTCTCGTTTCTCTCTCTCTATTTTCCTCGGCATTGTCTCGCGGATTGTGTGCGGCGCCAGGCTTTCAGGAGCCGGCGTAACGTATCTTCGTCACTTAGTTTAGTTTGAGCCGGTTAATGAGATGACATGGCGCTAACGTGCCGGTCATCTCATTTAGTGTAAGTTTTGGGTATTATTAGTGATAAGTGTTTTTGTATTCTTGTCGGCACTCAGGGAAGTGCAAGTGTAATAAAAGGTCAATTAACGAAGTTGAGTGTGTGAAATCATTGAGTCTACACCTTCTCCTTCCTGCTTTGCTAGGAGCGACACACCGCCTCCCTTACCCTCCCCTTAAATAATTCAGTAATAGCAGCGAATTGTAGGCATTGAAGGCTGACGCTATGACATATAAGTAAAATTAACAATTGTGTAGATGCAATATTTCTTTATGAATAAATTGTAGAACAAATGAATACTATAGCAAATAAAATATAAGTATTACTTTTCATTGAATAAGAGATAAATAAAAATTTAGTTGTTGTGTGATGCAACAGTAGTCGATTCGATTAATCGATCCGTTCGCGATTCGTCTACTCGCGATGTTAATTCAAACGACTAAGAGAGAGAAAGAGAGAGAGAGAGGGGCGCGAGTTTTTGAAAATAGGCAGTTAAGCCTCAGCTGCTTTCGCGAGAATACCGCCAACTTAGTTTTTGCACTGTGTTACGCTGTTATTTGTTGAAAGTTTCCTGGATTTATTTTATACGTGCGTGAGTGCAGCAATTAAGCAGTAGCAGCAGCAGTATAGCAGCGGTACAGCAGCGGCAAGCAGCAGCATTATAGCAGCAGCAAACAGGAGCAGATTTGAGAGAGAGGCAGCGCAGCTGATCAATTTGAGGAGTACCGTTTATTCTTCAACAATAACGGCTGATCGCCGTAATTGCACTGCAAGGAAGGTGCACCTCCCTTTATTAGGGCGACAAAATAATTTCGACAGTATTTTGTCTTTTGAAAGCGTAATTTTTTTTGTATTCGCACTGAGCGTTAAATTTCGCGGCAATTTTCGGATTCTCTCTCTCTCTCACCAAATTATAATAAATAATTGTAAAACCTATTCACGTGCGTTAGTCTTTCGGCCCATAGAAGACTGTAGTTTTTGTTAATTAAATTTTGTTAATTTTATTCGCCCTTTACGTCATTTCGTTTCCTATTAGCTAAATGGATCTGGAAAGGCTTAAGTCTTAATCCGATTTCGTCTAAAGAATTAGGCGGATTAGGTATTAAGTCATTCATACTGAACGATTAAGTATCACAAGTCAAATGACTTAAGGTGAGTTCAACTCGGTTGGAAAGAAGACACTGAAACGAAATCATCAAACGCAAAGGCGAATATACGTATAACTGTACGTATTTAATGGAGCGGCGGTTAGATCTGCATCGTGGGAGCTTGTGCGTTAATAAATTTCTCACTTTTGTAGAATACCACTCCGTTACAATCAATATTTAGCTACATACGAGGTCTTTCCCAAAATTATCCGACCTACACTCATATCTAGGTGTGGAGAGACTCAGGCAACCTCTGGAGGGTACAAATGTCTCCAGTAACTCCTAACCTTCTCATCAGTAACCCAAGATATCGATGAAATGCCTTATTTCTCGCGCAACATGTATCTCTTTACAGCGACTTTTTCGCGTTCGTCGCAATTTGTTTATTGCTAAAACTCGCTAAAATTCTTCACATTCCACTTAACTCTAACCTATACTTAAATACACCCGAATTCCACATATAGTCTCTTTCATTTGAGCGAGCTATTCACTAACGTCATTTGTTAATATTTTTCTTCGAATATTTTAATATATGTTTTTTTAATTTATCGATCTGTAAATTATTTTTATGTGTATTGATATTTTAAAGATTTTATTAAAAATTCATACTATAATATGAGCAGTATATTATAAACGTTATATGTTTTGACTTACCGATTATCATTACTATGTATAGGAAACTTAGGAAATAATGATATAATCAGTGCTGCTACAGAAGTTGGATCATTTGATAGTGTATAAGCTCCACCGCCTAAAACGAGAAATCCTAGGGCCATATGAGTTGCAACATGAGATCCATACGTAACAACGCTATTTGTTGGTCCAACTCGTTCGCGAATATGTCTGCACACCCTTATAAGCTGAAAGCAATTTAGGGAAATTATAAAATTCCTTTATATTATTCAAATACATAAAAAACTAAATGTTTTAGAAAATACCTCTAAATTTCCAGTTCCAGCCATCACTAAAGATGCTGACAACAGCACTACATTCAAACAACTCTCAATTGTAGCTCTTCCTAGTAAGTCAGCCATAGATTTTTGAGTCAAAGTCATAAACATCTTCAAAAAATGGTATAAAGTTTTAAATGCAATCATATTTTCAGTTCCAGCAAATCTTATTCCAAGAGCCATACATCCGCCAGCTATAATGTTGCAATATGCTTGACTAGAAAAAATATTTTCGATTCAATAAGCATGCTTTTATTCATTTGTATCAATTTTTCATTAATCCAGATAGTTGAATTAAGTTTAATTGATCATATAAAGTAAAATTGACATATTTATTTAGGTTTTATTGCTTTAAAATGGTTAAAATTATTTAATTTATATTTATTTAATTTTATTTTTGTTATAGAATTGGACACCACAAGATATTACAAATTGATGTTTTAAAAAACACTGCATTAGCATAAGTTAATTCAAAATATAGGAAACCATTACTCAAAATGATTTTATAACATAGACAATATATTTAAATGGCAGTTTAAAATGATTTTTAAAATGATAGTTTAAAACGATAGAACTTTTAACATACCTTTAATGCGAGGATTGATAAACAAGCCAGAGAAAACATGTCGACTGTAATTCCTGGTATTAATATAACTATAGTTTAAAGAATGAAAGTATTCATGATCATGCATGAAAGTTTTATAAATATGATAATAAGAGAATATTTAAGAAATTTGAAGTTTACGACCGTGCCTGGTGGAAATGCTGCCCATCACGCCAATGCTTTTAGTAACAGCCCTGTAAGGAATATGGCTGAGAGAAAGTAATGGATCATACATGACAAGAAAATTGTCGTAGCTCGCTTTTTTACGAGGGTGGTTCAATAAACCCTTAGAAAATCTAAAAGATGGCGCGTAAGATATCACAACTTATTTGCAACTGTTTTCAATTGGGTGAATGAGTTTAAATATGGTTTAAATATCGTATATCAACAAAATATGAACATCGTTTAGGATGTCCTATAGTAATGAGTACCCCCAAATGATCAACAAAATCCACGACATGGTGTTAAATGATCGGAGAAAATAATTGCGTCAAATAGTTGAAATGATGGCGGTATCAAAAGGTACCGTTATTACGATTTTGCAGGATGAATTGGATACGAAAAAAATTTCGACAGGACGGGTGCCATGTTTGCTCACAGAATAAACACAGTTTTACGGTTGCCACGAAGGCACTTCTGCTGCGCATCCATCATAATCTAAATGTGTTTCAGCAATGATTCATATTTGCAAATAAAATATAGATATACCACTCTACTCTAGAAACGAAGGAACAGTTAAAACAGTAGATTTTTATATGTGAATGGGCTCCAACGAAGTCAAAGACGGTTAAATCGACCGATAAGGTTAAGGCCACTGTATTTCAGGATACACGTAGGATTATCTTCATCGACTTTTTTCAAAAAAAGGTAAACAATCACCGGAGAGTATTATGTGTCGTTAATGAACTGGTTAAGTAAAAAAAGAAAGGAAAATCGTCCTCACTTAAATAAAAAAAATGCTATTTTATTAAGACAATGCACGAATACACATTTGCGTAATTTCAATGGGCAAAATTTCGAAATTGAAGTTCAATTAGTGGACCATACATCGTGTTCTTTAGAATTGGCTTCTAGTGTCTTTTTTTTAAATTTTCAAATCATAAAAATTGCTTTCTGGAGAAACTTTCAAAATCATATTTTTCTGATGCTTTTAAAACCTTAAAAGACGTCTGGAAAATTTTATTGAGCGAACAGGAAATTGTATTTAAAAAAACAAACCTACCTTAATAAAATTGTTATTTCATCTTTTTCTATGAACTTATTCATCTACCCTAGTACTCACCTCCTCATCATTTATACTTACACCAATTTAAGTTTGTCTCGGCAGTACAAAAAGTAGCTCTATAGAGAAAATCATCTATAAACAGCTAAATCCCTAATTGATACGTTAGAAGGGGGCTATATAAATGAATATCGTGCGAGAGAAATTAACTGGAAGCAAGATAATCCAATAATTTAGATGTAAATCAAACTAGGGAGATAAAGGCAATCAAGAAGGGTTTGCTTTATATCAGAGCGCGCTTTCAATTTGCGAGATAGTAGGCACTCTTGAGTTGTTAATAAGTCCGGAACCCAGTGTAGTCAGTATGAAAGCTACACACATTAGCGTAGAATAAACTAGAAATCTCTTCTATCGAAGTTATGATGACTGACAATCGGATGAGTCCATGCTATGAGAAAGAAATGAGGAAGCTTAGAATAACAATTATATACATATAATGATTATATTATCGAAGTCATCGGATTCACAGGGCTCTCTGGTATTGTCAAGCACACACACACACGCACACACGCGCGCACGTGCGCGCTGAGAATTCATTTGCATGAATTATTTATATTAGACATAAATATTTTAGACAGCCACAAGTTAGATAAGAATAGAAAATAACATTAATTAATAATTACTATGAATGTAGTAGGTCATGATTAAGATAACGATGAGATACTAAACAGTAAATATAAGTGGAAAATGAACCACGTGGATTGGCTACTGGGAAATATAAAAGATAGAAGTTTATATCTTTCTTATACAAGTGAAATTTCCAAAAATAACCTTTTGATCTCCATGCTTGTGTTTCAAGAATAAGGAATACTACTCTTAGCCAAAATGTAAATAGACGAAAGTGATAAATCTTGGAATAAGTTATTTAGAGTATGTTTACTAATCTGGTTCCAGTTATCGTAAACAATTGTATAGAGGCCTGGAAACTTCAGTATTTAGTATGAGAAGCAGAATATAAGAGAGAAAAACCCTACCATGAACAATGGTCTGGATATGTTGAAAGATCAGTGTCAGTGTAACGAGGCAACGAGGAATAAAGAAGTCTAAAACATAAACCACGTACGGTGAAAATGTGATCACGTACTGGAGAGAACAAGCCAGGTTAAATGGAGTCTGTGGTAAGTGATATGTGAGGTGATAATTTTAGTAGCAATGATCAAGATAAAGCTTATCACAAAAAACACAAAATAAATTCATATGATGAATAAAAAAAGGCTTAAAATCATTCATAGAAGATTTTTTATTGCGAACATATTTATCATTCATTCATGTTATATATTATTCTATTACAATAAATTTTTTTAATTTACAGGTTTTTGGAGAAAGACAATTTTAAATAAACTTATAAAAAGATTTAAAAATTTTAAATTCAATACTCGAGACTCTAACTTTCAGAACATGGAATTAATACGTTGATATTTTAGAAGTTTATAAATGTTAATTTGTGGTTGTTAGAGATTAAAGTTTTCCTTGGAGTTTTTGAAAAATAACGTCTACATATTCAAATATATGAAGAATTAGTCACTAACTCAATATTTTATATTTATTTTTGAAATTCACGCTCGCGATTGGTTTTTCTGTGTAAATAAACTTTAATGACCTTTAAATGTCCTTGAATATTAGGCAATGTGGTCTAATAGAGGAAAATATTGTATTTAGAGGATAAAAATAAGACTATGCTAGTATTTTTTTTTTTGGTAATTCAGATTTTCTGTTTGACTTACTAATAACCTTAAATTGAAGGTGTTATGATCAAATTGAGAACATAATTAATTTTAGCTTATATGAAATATATGAAATATATGGGTATTGTAGAGCACAGAGTATTCTTACTGATATGTGTGTATAATATCGACCACAGTAAACTTCGATATATTCTCGAATATCGATATTAAAAAATCTGAACAAAGAATTGCAAAGTATCTCCGAATCTGTAGTCCAAAATTTACTTGTACGGAAATTGATAATTTGACCTTCGAATACCCTTCAATGTAACGTGATGAATACAAATGGAGCTCATATTGGTTTCAGCGAATCAAAGTATATTAAATTATCTCAGTGGAATTTTTGCTCCATTAAGATTGCATTTTGTAGTGATGTGTTATTATTTGGAACTGAAATATTTTTGGAACAAAGTTTAACTTCATTAGGATAACGTCTATTTTGCATCAACTTAATGAAAAAATCAAGTGACGATTTTTTCATTAAGTTGACAATTCGACTAATTCATAAACTTTTTTACAAATCAATTACTTTTTATTAAATTGGATATAGATAACTAAATGTTTATGAAAAATTTTAAATATCTTACAAACATTTTCAATAGATTATTAACTAATGAATATTTCTTTAACAATTGAGTGGTTTTGTTTGCATTTTCTTTTGTAATTATATGCTGATATTCTTCTATAAGCGCTTTCATGGTAAAGGTTCAATTTGCCAATTGTGCAGTAGGACCTTATATCTCAAAGTATATTGTCTATATGTATATCCTCATGGAATTCCAATGTAGCATATATATTTTCAATGAATTATTTCAATTACTTACAATTTAATTTTAAGTTAGCTTCTATTTCTGTAGTTAAGGATTTTTTTTTGTATCTATTTTATAGTTAATGTTTCTGATATTTTTGTTGCCCATTATTTTGAATTCATTTGGAAAGTTCTTTACGAGTGTGATAGCTCTTATATATTTTTTATAATTATTTGTCTAAATGAGTATGAAATTTTTTAAAATTTTAAGCTGCTGTCTCTTGTTAATTTGTTTTTTGATATGTACATTTGAGATAATTTCTCATAATGGTAAAATAGGACTTCTAAACAGAAAGAATCTAGCCGGATAAGACGGTCAAAATGCCCTTTGAGCCCGCTCCCCCCGGAAAAGTAAACAGGCCATTATGCCCAGGATTATCAGAAACTCGTTTTACTAAATTTTCAGACCCCTTTATCAACCTGGGGTAGTATGAGACCTTATTCTGTATTTTAGCATTTTTTAACAATATCTTGATTAATTTTTGAGATAGAAAGAAAATTTTCTTTTTCTCTTTTGTAGGATTTTTTCATCCCACAAAACTGTCTGAACTAACAGTTTTTGGCACCAAATGCATATTTTTAAACATTCTGAAAAAATTTTTGTCGAAAATAAAGGCGTATTCTATCCTACAAAAATATATATTGTTGTTACGTGACGTTCCATTATGTTATAATTATATTTTACGATTAAGATTTCGCTCTCGAGAGTTCCGTTCAGACATAGCAATAAAACACTATATCAGTTTTCGTGTGCGCGACTCGGTGGGAATGAGTGGCAGAAGCTGATTCACGCTGCTGT